GTGTGTGTGCATTCATCCATATGTATATTGCATTGCATTAACAATGCATGTCTGTGTCTTTTAAAAAAATGATCAAACTATCAATTCCGAGAAGGTTCTTTGCCCACTCAGTGAGTGTGTTCACTTGAACTGGATTTGATGGATTTTGATCATTTTTTTAGTTTACACAGATTGTGTTGTTTTATGTAGCAGTTGGATGATTCAGCAACTATGCTATCGACCTCCCACACATGCTAGGCAGGGGATGCGGTAGCATAGGGTCTGGGTCAATTAACTGTTACGCATTTTTATCATGCTATGCATCTATTTCACTAAAGTACCGAATATATCGTAATATTTCACCATGGTAGCACATACATTACATTTATGCATTTTTCATTAAATATATGGTTCATTATATCCATCCATATACTTCATCTATGCATAGTATAATCCGGCATATGCATTACGAGATACACAATCAAACGTTCACGGTGACATCATTTTGACAATATAGATTCAATCAAGGCAAACTAGAAGGAACACACTACGGCACGTGGTAAATTATGGTGGCAAATACGTAGCATTTAGTCACTTAGCTACCATTCGCTAGATATTTTCCGTCGTTTTTATAGAGGACTGAAAAAAAATTGTACATAACGATTGTAATAGGTTGCTCCGCAACCCAAAAAAAAAAAACTCTGAAAAATCAGAGAAGGTACATAAAAAAACTCTTACAGTTCAGACCTGGTACCAAAAAAAAAGTCTGAATGGACGCTGAATCCGCGTAAAAGGTCTGATATCTATGGCACTGGCTCAGAGTGTGTGGTGACGTTGTGATCCACCCTGAGCTTGCTTTGTTTCTCTTGACTGGTCTTGTGACCCCTTGCTCTCCCCCACTTTGCCTATGGGGGTGTGTCAAACATATATATTTATGTTATGATAGTGGGTAGGCTGTAATGGGGTAGATAATGTGGGGTACAACCCCTCCCGTTAGACTTTTTCTCCCTTGTAAAACCTCTCGTCTCGTCACTTTTCCTTAGTCCAACTTTCCAATGCCTAGTCTCTAAGAGTACTCGAATAGAGTACCCGGGTCCGTATTATAGACCCGGGGGTCTACTTGGAGGGGGGTCCTATATACGGGGGATTACGGTATTCTGAATTTTCAGAGAAAACGGAAACCAGAGCTACAAAATCAGCGTAATCAGCGTGTTTTACGCTGATATCTGAGGGCCTGCGGCGGGTCCTATAGCCCAAAAAATGCGGTATTACTACCATACCATGCTGCTTCCTGTCCCGGCAATGGCACGCGAATAATCTTCACACTGGATAATTGTTATGCACGGTTTGAGTCGTAAAAGACTACCCTGCATCTACACAAGCTCAACGGTGCTGTCTGCAGCAGCTGCTGCACTGGCTTCAAGCCTTGACAGCGTACCTTCGTATACAGCTTCAAATGCAGCCACCTGCTGTCGACCCTTGTGTAGCTGGATAATTGTTATGCACGGTTTGAGTCGTACAAGACTACCCTGCATCTACACAAGCTCAACGGTGCTGTCTGCAGCAGCTGCTGCACTGGCTTCAAGCCTTGACAGCGTACCTTCGTATACAGCTTCAAATGCAGCCACCTGCTGTCGACCCTTGTGTAGCAACTCCTCCCACTGCAACTGCTGCGAGTTGCAGTCACTGGCCGTGGAACTCACGACACTACTTAGCGGGTACGGTTGTACGGAAGGCAGGGCCATGGAAAGGAAGGTGGGAAAGGAAGGTCGATGCGCGAGTCCAAGGTTTGCAACAGAAATCGGGAGAGGCAGAAGCGCAAGACGGCTTGAATCAGTGGCAGAGATAGAGGAAGTCTGAGAAAACTCTGGAGAGAGGGCATAGGCAAGGTAGTGCGTAGTATGCGTGGATCTGGTGGAATCCCACTGCGAGTTGAAGATGCAAAGGATAGGTCGGATTGATTTGCTGAACCACCTCTTCATGCACGTGTCTGGAAGTAGGGCCAATTGCCCCCAGTCTCGTTGTAGGCGCGTGCCAGCGTCCTTGAAACCAGATGCTCCGTGACCCTCGGGTTCCGCTTCAGTTCGCAGCTCTGACGCCTGGTGCTTCTGCCTATCGCCAGACTGCAAGGCTTGTCGCAGGTCGTCAAGCTGTGCGGTCACGGCTGCCTCTCGCATGGACGGCTGAAGCGGGGAATTGGAACGTCGGACAAACCAGCCAATGACACATTCGTGAGGCCCAGCCCGGGATCCAGAGGTGGAAGCCACTGTGTTCCTCCGGGCGTCGCCAGCGACTCCAAGCCCCTCGTTCTCCGAAGAGCCCAGAAGAAGCTGCACTCGATCGACGTCCACAGTACCCGTCCCATCGTAGAAGCTTAAGACGCGACCAGCCGACCGAAATCCAGTCACCACCAAACAGAAATCGTTGCGCGAAATCTGCCCATCATCGCCTTGCGCGTCGGAGTAAACAGCTGTGGTGCGCTGCTCCAGGCAGCCGAGAAGAAGTCCATCGGTCTCGCCAGCAGCCAATCCATGGACTAGCGACGCGAGCGTTGCACCGGATAGCACCACGCGCTCCATCCCCACATCTGGGTAGCTAATTTTCGGCGAGTGACTTGAGATGTGAGGGTAATTTGATGCTCCTCTGATCTACTGAAAAGAAACTCCATCATGTGCCCTCGTGTTGCTCGACGCAAAAGGCGTTTAGGGGAAACAAGTCGGTTGGAAAATTTTGAACACTGCATTACACGTGCACGCTTCATCATACACTGTAATAATATATTAAATACAGTCAATAGTGCAAGTAAAGTCAAGACAAAAAAGCAAGCCAGAAAAAAAAAAAAATGTATTAGAGCAGTGAGAATCAGAAGGCTTGATTCGGCACTGAGACACGTGGGCTTGCTCTTCCTTGCAAAGCAGGCAGAGGCCAGTGGTTGCTCATGAACTCCAGATCTGCCTCATCCGTGTCCCCAACACCAACATCCACACACACACCCATGCTCACACCATCACCATCGCCTCCGCCAGCCATCTTACCCACCACCACATGCTCGAGGCTCTTGATGGGCGCTGACCTGTGCTTCTGAAGCCGCCTGCTGCCTACAACCCGAGGACCTGCCCCTACCCTCGCATGCCCACTGCCGCCCCCATTCTCTATATCCCCACTCCCTGCATTTCTGCACTCCGGGTCCTCCCAGTCATCCAACACCCCTGTCGGCCTCTCTCGCGAAACCCTCTGGCATATTCCCCTCCTTCTCATTCGCCGCTCCTGCTCTCTGCCCGTCTGCTCCCTAGCCTCATCACCACTGCCCATGGGAGATCCAAACCCCTCCACTGCCCACCTTGACCCCCTCTCCTCCCCCATCCACTCAGGCTGCTGCACCAACTCTCCCGCACTGTCCATGCCCTGCCCTCTGCTGGCCCACGGGGCACTACTTCTTACCGTGCCTGCCTCCCTCTCACTCCCACTCACTGTCTCCCCCCCCCCTGCCTGCGGCATAGTGCCTGGCGACTGCCCCACGCCCATGGCATCCCTGAAGTCCTCACTTGCCCACCGCCTCACCTTCCTCGCCCTGCCCTGCCTGCCCACGCCTGACTGTGCCACCCCTGATCTTCCACCACCCGCCAACCCCTGCTCCCAAGGGACGGCAGCCAGGGGGGGTCGCATGGGGCTGCGATTGGTTGGGGCAGGGGAGCCGTGGAAGGTGGTTGGGGAGTTGGTGCTGTGCGCGTCACTCTCTGCCACCCGGCGCACGGGCCTGGCAGCGCTGCTCCCACTGCTGCTCCTCAGTATGTTGCTGCGACCAGCACTGCCACTGGCACTCCGTGGCACTGCACCTCTGCTGTGAGCAGGGGAGCATGGGGCCACTGGCACCAGACTGTCAGTGCCTGCATCTGGAGCAGGGGGCCCAGAGCCCTCATACGCAGAGGGTGGCTCGAGTGCTTGCCCGCTGTCGCCCCACGGCTGGCTGTGCAGTGTGCTCTTGTCATCGCTGCGGTCGCGAGTGCAAGGAGCGAGGGGGGCAGTGCTATGATGCATGGCACCACCGCTGCCACCGCTGCAGCTCAGGCAGCTGCAGTTGGGGCGCCGCCCACCGGCGGAATGGGGGCGCTGCAGCATCTGCACTCGCGGCGACGCCTGCAGCATGGGTGCTCCAGCCTCCGCTGTGTGCTCCGGCCACCCTTCAGTGCTCGGCCGCGCACCAACCCGCACACACGCACGGTCTGCAGGCAGCGGGGCAGCGGAGGCAGTGAGCGCGGGGGGAGCGTGAGCGGAGGGGGACGTGGAGGTGGTGGTGAACATGCGCACGCGTTGCTGGAAGGGGTGCACGTGGACCAGCGTGGAGGAGGACGGCAGGCTCACTGCCATGGACCGCGACCGCGCATGCCGCACACATGCTTCCCTGCCATCCCCTCCCCACCCCGCCTTCATCCTGCTGCTGCCGGCACCGCTCCCCGCTGCCGTGTCAACATCACCTGCACCATGCCGGCCCCCACTGCCACTCGCACTGGCATGCGAGAGTGGCGAGCCCTCACCCACCGCATGCACCTCCTCGCTCTCCTCCACATGCGCCTCTTCCTCCTCCTCCTCCTGCTGTGCCTGCAGCTGCCTGCGCTGCTGTCGCCCGTGCCTCACTACCCACCCCGCCTCTCCGCCACTCCCCCACTCCATCCGCAGCACCTGCACATCTCCCCCACCCTGTATTGCCCGCGCACCTTCCCCTCCGCCCTTCCCATCCCTCGCCGCTGCGGACGTTTGCGGGCGGGGCGGCAGGGGAGGCATGGGGGAAGCGCTGACGGCACCACCGCTGGAGGAGGGGCGCGCGCTCGCCCCCTCGCCCTCCGACGCGCCCCTGTGGTGCCACGCGCGATTCACCGGCTTGCCCGCCCGCCTCGCGCCGTTGCTAGTAGCCGCGCCAGCACTGCCCTCCAACGCACCACCCGTAATCCCAATTTTGCCCGCTTTACTCTCCTCGCTACCTTCCCCCTCCCCTTTCGCCTCCTGTGGAAGCAAGCGCTTCTCTAGACCCGCTGCCGACGCCTTTTCCCCATCCCCGCACTCCTCCGCGTCCCTAGCTTGGCACGTGCTACCCCTCGCGCAGCCCGCAGGTCCGAGCCCATCTCAGCAGCGGTCAGCGCATACCCACTCCCGTCCGCATCCGCGCCCGCGTCACCATCGCAGACCGCCCCCACAACCCGCTCTCCCGCCACAATCACAGCTTCCCCGCCCTGCCCTGCACGCGTCACCCCTTCCTCCTCACGGCCTTGGCTATCCGCGCCCGCCGGTGACTCCCCTTCAACCTCCCGCGTCGAATCCTCGCGCGCTCCGCTTTCTTGAGGCGCGACTGTGCCGCGCCTCTCGCTCTTCTCCCAGTCGCCTGTCTCTGCGCCTCCCCCTTGGCTTGCGCCAGCATGCGCGGAATCACCAACCACATTCCGCTCAAGGCTGGCGTTCCGCCCCAACACGCTTCCGCGGCTGCGCGAACTATCCGCCGCAGCATCGTGGGCGCTACTGATGCTGCGGGAGCGGCTCAGTGATGTGAGCGGGGGGAAGGTCCGGTGGGACGGGAAGCAGAAGCGCCCGCCGCCCATAACAAGGTCGCCCAGCGCAGCCGTCGCCGCGTTCGCCGCCGCCACGGCGGGCACAACCCACGCGCTCAGCCCGCCGGTTTCCGCAGCTTCCCACACGTCCCGCGCCTCGCCTGGACCAGGCGCCGGCTCTCCGCCCTCCCCTCCCACCCTCCTTTCCGCGTCACGTTGCCCCCCGCGGTGCTGCTGCCCCACCAGCGAGTCTGGCTGCCGGCGGCGCTTGCGGCGGATCGAAGACAGCAAGCGGGAGAGCCGGCTCCGACCGCGCTCAGCGGCGAGCCCGTCGGCGCATTTCCCGGATCCGGCTCCGGCAGTGCCGCTACGCCTGGCGTCCGCATGAGGCGCAGGGCAACGCGAGTCGACAGCGCCGTTGTCATCCGGGGTCTCCGAGCTGCTGCCATCGAATTTGCGGATACCGTTTACTCCAACGCTGTCAGTCTTGTATGAGTGGGCACATGCGGTGTTGGGATCTTCGCGGTCATGTGCATGCGACGAGGAATCGCACACTGCAACGCCTGCATCCAATGACGTCACCCCTCGCTGCGGTTTACCGTGATTTCCCGCGCATTCTCGGTCCGCAGGCCCGGCGGAGAAGCAGCAGGCCAAGACGGCAGTGGGTGCGAAGGACCAGCGACGAGCGGGCGGGTCGAGGGATGACGCTGGCATGGCGGCGGTCATTGCGGTGGGGAAGGCGAGACAAGTCCGCGCAGATTGTCGGCTGGCGGCGAAATATGGCAATGGATGTCGCGCGGGGAGGGCAATAAGTGAATGGTGCTGGAGGAGTCGAAGCAAGTGGGTTAGGTATTGCAACACCACAGCAGATGGTGAATTGGTGGTGTCGTTTGTGTGCGCTCCACTTCGTCTGGCTTGCGCACCCCACACCACCTCTACAACCGCGCACACCACCTTTCCCTTGCGTGGCAGGGGGACGGGGAAGGCGCAGAGGACAAATTGGGTGGAGGGAAAAAGGGCAGCGCGGAAAGGCGGAGATGGATGGACGGGAAGGCTCGGAACGACATGTGCGGGGGGAACCAAGAGATCCGCACGTTGCGTTGCGAATGTTGTCGTAGCTCGCAGGCGTGACAGCACGTCCACATCGGGTAACCCGCACCCAAGTTCCACATCGCTCGACACACTTCCCAGCAGACTGACTCGGTTGCAGTTTTGAAGTGTACTCTCATCAGGAGCTTACAGGCCCCAGCACAATCCAAAAGAAACGATTTAAAAGTCTGACCAACTTAACAGAGTAGCACTTGTTGAGCAAGTCTTCCGTCCGTGATGCGCCTCACTAGCAGAGGGCAATGCAAGGTACCCGTTAATATTGTGTAGCAAATTCACAAGGTCCCGTGTTTAGCTTTGGCTGGTCTCACACGCGGGGTCACCAAGAGTTCTGCGATTGCTGCACCAGAGCTTGCACTGCGGCCCGATCTGGGAGGCTTGGCATGGCTCCCTTCTTTTGTACACACAGTGATGCAGCACAGGCTGCAAGGGCCAAGCACAGGAGCCATGAATCAGACCAAGGACAGAATCGCAACCTAGAACACAGGGACAACCCAGATGATTCAAATAGATGTGCTGAAAGATAATGCCTTACCCTACCTACACCTTCCCTCCCCCCTCTCCCCCCACAACCCGACCACCCCTCAATGGACTCACAGGCGAATAGCAGCGCATCAGCATCAGAGGAGCCAGAGAGCAGTGCGACGGCATATGCAGCGGTGAAGGTATCGCCGGCCCCTGTGGTGTCCACCACTGTGCGCGCCGGCACCACTGGCTGCCGCAGCTGCCACACATGACGCCCCGAGCCATCCGTGCCCGTGGTGAGAGTGGCAGAGAGGGGCGAGGAGGAGGAGGCAGGTGCAAGAGGGGAGGAGGAGACGAGCAGGGAGCCACTGCTGCCCAGCTTCACCAGCACCTTGGGCACTCCCTGGTACACGTTTGAGGAGCGTTTGACAGAGCAGGAAGCAGCAGTGGGGCGCACAAGTGAGTACAGCACGGACGATATTAGCTCCATTGGCACGCCAGTGAAGGAATTAGCAGAAAGGCTTCCTCTGCTAACCCGTGACAGCGTGCCATCCAAGCATTCGTGCGCCGCACCTTGGCCAGCAGGGTGAGAGCAGCCCTCTCAGCGTCGGGGATGGAGGAGACGGGCAGGCCTGTGAGGCGAGAGAGCTCCGTCTCGTTGGGGCTCATCACTGCCACGCGCCGCACCATGGCGTCTGGTACAGGCCCGTCCATGCCACCCATGTCCAGCACCACCGGCACTCCTGCTGCGCCTGCCAGCTGCATTCGGAACAGGGAGAGCGAGCGATGGGGGCGAGGACACACACATCACTCACGGACAGCGACTGAGTCTCAGGCAAGACACGATGCTGTGCCACTGGAACAAGCTCCATTCCCACCTTTCCGTGCGTACCACTGTATTCTCACTCCTGCCCCTTGACACGCGCAGCCACTCCCACGCACCTCTGCAGCTTCAGCATTGACGTCATCCGGCAGCTCCCTCTGCAGCAGCACCATGCCCGCCCCGCGGATCGCCTCCCTCGCCTGCTCGCTGAAGAACGACTCCCGCCGCCCCCCACCCCTGCCCTCCACGCGCCTCTTGCTCCACGCCATGTTCGCCCCGCCCACAATGATGATGGCGTTGCTGCCATCCGCCTGCAGCATCACTATCGCCTGCCCTGTTGCCACACTGCCATCGCCACCGCCCCCTGCCATGTTAGCAGCAGAAGCAGCGGCGGCGGCCGCCCCCCTTGCAGCAGCCTCGCTCTGTCCGTCTGCTGCTGCCGCTGCCTCTGCGGCGGCCCGTGCTGCCGCCGACGCCGCTCTTTGTGCTGCAGCTGCTGCCTCTGCCTCCGCCTGTGCGGTGGCTGCAGCGGCACTCGCAGCCCCTGTGCGGAAGTTACCGCCACCAGCAGCCTGCGCCTCGCGGCTCGCCGTCGCGGCAGCCTGCTGTGCTCGTTGCGCCGCCGCATGCGCCTGGCTCAGGGCCGCCTCTGCCTCCGCCTTGGCGGCGTTCGCGGCCACCACGCTGGGGTGCGCGGACGTCATGGCGGCGGAGGAAGAGGCGGGCGCGGGAGCGCCTAGCGTGACCAGGTGGTCCACGTGCACGCCCGTGCCTGCCAGCGCTGCCGACAGCATCGCGCCGTTGGCGTCGCTGCCCACCTGTCAGCCGCACGCGCCGAGGCACGCGGGCGGCGAGCAAGCAAAGAGCGAGTAAGACAGGGAGAGGTGGGGACGGAATGAGCCCTGAAACAGAGTAAGCGAGAGCGAAACCGGTGGTAGCAGCACGCGAATGCGTGTGGCACCTAGTGTGCGCGCACCTGTCCGATGAGGTACGTGGGATGTCCCAGGCGGGCGGCCGCGGCGGCCTGGTTGGCGCCCTTGCCGCCTGGCAGCGTGCAGCCCGAGGTGGCGCTCACCGTCTCGCCCGCCACCGGCATGCGCGCCACCTCCACGTACACGTCCGCGTTCGCCGACCCCACCACCACCAGCGCCTTCCCCGCCGTCAACGGCGCTGCTCGCGCAGACTTCATTGCGGCGATTGGTGAGGAAATCGAATTAGGTCTGCGTGGCGCTGATGGGTGCGGCGAGCACGAACGGAACGGGAACAATGGGGACGCAAAGCGCGAGCGAAGATGGGAATCGCGAATGCGCACACGAGACGACGCGACGGACCACCGAAACTCGGCGGACAAGTGCAGGGTGGGGGTAACGCGCAGCGGCGAGACGGCAACGACTGCTTCCATGCACAGACGGCCGCACGGAGGGATGAGTGTGCGGACACAGATCTGGCAAAAAACCACTCATAAATCAGGTTCCTGTGGTTGCGGGCGGAAGGCGCATACCTAACCCGTGAATTGCGCGTGACAATGACCGATGTGGATGGTGCTATTGCTGAAGGGGTATTTACTTGTTTTGTTGGTGCTTTATCAATGTTTGGTCCCCGAGATCAGATTGACTTCAACCCCACGCCCATTCGCTCCCCCGAGGACTTCTGTTCAGCGAATCCCCAATGCAGCCGAACCAATCGCCCCGCCGCCGCCCGTGTTAGGAAATCGAGGCGATTCACGCAAGAGAACAATCGAGTCGATTGGGGATTACGCGTGAAGCGCCTATCCAGAACACACTCTTTAGTTTCGCCGCAGCAAGGACTGACAGCATCATGGCATGACGGCATGAGCCGTGAGCAATGCGCCACTTTCAACAATTCTATGTCCGCAGCGCGTGACACGGGAATCTGAGGCGGGAAGCAGAGAAGCGAGAGTACGTCGCACGCGCGCGAACGAGCTGCACGGGCTGGCCGCGGAGAGGCGGAGAGGCGGAGAGGTAGGGCTTGTGTGGAGACGCTACGCGAGCTGGTGGGCGGAGCCAGCAAGGCGTTGAGCGCAGTGAGTGGTGCACGCGGCGTGCCGTGCGAGCCAGCCATAGGAGCGCGCACGCCGTGTTCTTAGCGACATGCAGTCATGGCGGTCGCCGTGTTCTTAGCGACATGCAGTCATGGCGGTCGCCGTGTGCTTAGCGACATGGAGTCATGGCGGTCGCCGTGTGCTTAGCGACATGCAGTCATGGCGGTCGCCGTGTGCTTAGCGACATGCAGTCATGGCGGTCGCCGTGTGCTTAGCGACATGCAGTCATGGCGGTCGCCGTGTGCTTAGCAACATGCAGTCATGGCGGTCGCCGTGTGCTTAGCGACATGCAGTCATGGCGGTCGCCGTGTGCTTAGCGACATGCAGTCATGGCGGTCGCCGTGTGCTTAGCGACATGCAGTCATGGCGGTCGCCGTGTGCTTAGCGACATGCAGTCATGGCGGTCGCCGTGTGCTTAGCGACATGCAGTCATGGCGGTCGCCGTGTTCTTAGCGACATGCAGTCATGGCGGTCGCCGTGTGCTTAGCGACATGCAGTCATGGCGGTCGCCGTGCTGATGCCGGGGACGGCGCGACTGCTCTGCTGCTGCTGCTGCTTGTGGATGTCCCGTGGCAGGCGAGAGGGCCCCAGCAGGGCGCGCGAGTAGCGAGGAAGCAGAAGAACCCACGGCGGCAGCTGCAGCACCACCAGCACCCGCATCGCCGTTTCCAGAAGCAGCAGCAGCAGCAACTGCAGCATGTGGGGCAGCACGGGGAGCGGTGGGTTTGCGGGTGCTGCGACGTGTGTGCCCCGGCATAGCACCCCTCGGCCATGTGCCACGCCACCCACTGCTCCACAGGGGGCACACACACCCACGCCCACAGGCGTTGCACAGCGTGGCGCACGATGGGGCGAAGGGGAGGAGCGAGCAGGAGTAGCGGGTGGAGACGAGGTAGGGGGAGGATGTGTGGAGGCATGCGAGGGCGAGTGTGAATGGATTGGCATTGTGGCAGGGTAACGTGCAGCCAGCTGTGCCTGCCATGCGAGCTTTCCCCTGTGCAGCTCAGCGCATCAACTTGCAATGGGCAGATGAGAGCAGCTCTCGTGATGACCAGAACGAGCAACGTGTTACGGATTCGCAGGAGATGAGATTCATGAATTCCGCCAGCACTCTCTCAGCTCCACCTGAACGAGCTTCTGCTCTCCTTCCCCCTCTGCATGCGTCCACCAGGTACTCACACGTGCTGTTGTGCTGCGCCACTTGTCGCGCTCTGCTGCCCTGCCCCAGGGCGCAGGCGGGCGTGGATCAGCGGGCTTGGCAGCGAGGCAGGGGCAGCTGGGAGGGGCAGTGCGGGCATGCATGGGGGCGCCATGAGGGATGAGCGCACTCCCCATGGAAACGTGCTGGCAGCGGGAATCAGACAGGTGAGGCCTTATGGTGGGTGAGTAGGTCGCTCTGCCATGCATTCATGAAACATCTGCGTTCTCTTCTCTCTCATTTTCCCCCTCACGTGTCACCTTCCTATGTGCTGTGCATTAACCTTGTCCCCCTGCCGTGCTGCCCCTCCACGCCTCTGCGTGCCTGTGGCGTGCGTGCATGGCAGGCTGCCCTTGATGTCGCCTCACAGTGAGCTGCAATGGGCCACAGCGCAGCCATGCCTGCCAGGCCTGCAGCTCAACCACATGGCCACCCATTCCAACTGAGATGGGAGTTGAAGTGTGCACAACAGGCTATTTATTGTATGACATGTTGTCCAAGCCAACACTGCACGGATACACATTATCAAGATTCAGCCTCAGCTACAACGATACCAGCCCTTCTCATGGGACTGCTGTGGGGCCAGTTGGTGGAGAGGTACCGTATGCAGAGGCTGTGAGCAAGGAAAAGGGCAGCCGCAGCTTAGGCACTGCTAGGCAGGCAAACCACCGTGTATATGAATTAAGTGTTAGGTGGAGGCATCCTATCGTAGGTGCAGCTTGGTGTACAAACAATGCACATGATTTTCACAGCTGCATGCCATTCCTTGCACAACGACACATCTGTGCTCCACTGGTCGCGCCAGTGGGTCAATGATTGGAAGCAGTGGGGTCAGCGGGAGGAGGCGGGTGTGTGTGAGGGGCGGTGGGAGGCGGTTGAAAGAAGGGCAGCACAACAGAGGCGAGTTGGTCCTCCTCGATGGGCTTGGTCATGTACCCATCCATGCCCACCACTGCACACCGCTCCCGCGTGCCCCCACCAATGTCCGCCGTCAGGGCAAACAGCAGCAGGCGCTGCCTCCGCACAGGGCGACAGGGGGGCGTGCAGGGCGATGCGGGAGGCGGGCAAGGGGAGGAGGGCGAGGGAGGAGCGGCAGAGCCGCGCTGTGCTGTGCCTGCTGCTGGCAGTGGCGATGGCATCCCTGGGGATGGTGGCGCTTGCGTGTGAGAATCAGCATGAGAGAGCGGCGTGGCACGCACAAGGGGCACACTCTCCTGTGCGCTTGCAGCAGTGGGCAGCGGTGCAGTGCAGGCAGTAGCTTGAGCGGCCTCCAAGTTGCGAATGGCCTTGGTGGCCTGGAACCCGTTCATGCCAGGCATCTACGGTGAGAGGGATGGGGGGGGAGGCAAGGCACGCACGGCCGCAAGGCGCAAGTGGCGTTTGGAAGGGAGCAGCACGGTGACAGCTAGAGTCACGAGCATCAGTGAACAGGGATGTGGCATGTGACAGGGAGCAGATGATATGAGGCATGCGCCGTGTGTCATGCATCATGGGGCACTGGGCATAAAGCTTGAGGCATAAGGCAGCATGAGGCATCGGGCATGGGGCATGGAGCATGGGGCATGGGGCATGGGGCATGGGGCATGGGGCATGGGGCATGGGGCATGGGGCATGGGGCATGGGGCATGGGGCATGGGGCATGGGGCATGGGGCATGGGGCATGGGGCATGGGGCATGGGGCATGGGGCATGGGGCATGGGGCATGGGGCATGGAGCAGGGGCAGGGGGCATGTGAGTGCACCTGCACGTCCATGAAGACGCCCACGAAGTCATGTGGCTGCTGCAGGCGCTGCAGCGCCTGTGCGCCCCCCTCCACTGCCTCCACATGCACTCCGTAGCGCTGCAGCATCTTGCTGATCACCTTGCGGTTCACCATGTTGTCGTCCACCTGCCATAAGCATAGCCCGCCCCACACACCCCACACATGCACGCAGTGAGGGACGGCGCAGGGGAGAGGGTATTGTGCTGCAGACATGCATGGAGGGCCCGTGCAGGAGCACATGAGGAGGACAGGGAGATGAGGCAGTGGAGCAACAGGCATGGTGTGCAGGTTGCAGCATGGTGTGGGGCAGCATGCGTGCATGGAATGGAGCACGTGAGGCACTGACCACGAGGAACTTGGACCCTTCCAGAGCACTGCACAGCCGTGCAGCCGCAGCACTCTTGTGCCGCACACTGCTCATCACACCGCCACCCCCCACCTCTGCTCCTCCTCTTGTCGCCCCCGCTGGCCCCCGGGGGCGTGCATCCTCCGCTGGCACTGCTGCACCACGCTCACCCGCCACACCCCCCGCCATCCCACCACGCCCCTCACGTGCTGGCCGTGCACTCGCCTCCCCACCCCCACCACCGCCCTCCCTTGCATGTGCCTGCTCCGCCCCTTGCCTGTCTGCTCCAGGTGCGCCTCTGCCCGCCCCACACAGTGCCGCCAGGGCACTGGTGCTGCTGCTGCGGTGCTGCATGCCTGAGCGGCCTGCCAGTGGGACGCAGCACCCAGGCACGGCCGGTGATGAGCCCACGGACCCTCCCAGCGCCAGCAGAGGAGCCTCCTCGCCGCCCTCACTCTCCTCGCACGCCCCTGCCCGTCCCCCTCCATGCAGCCCAGCACGTGCAGCAGGAGAGTGTGTGAGAAACAGAGATGAGGGCGTGTGCAGGGCGGGGGCAGGTTGGGCGGACAGGGTATGGGCAGCAGGTGCGGCGTCCACCCCCAGGGCCTCGCCCAGGCAGCCAGCGAGGGCGGCGTGGCGGATGGGCTTGATGAGCACAGCGGCCACGTCATGGCGCTGCTTCAGCCCGCCTGCCTGCCGCGCATCACGCAGCACCACGATCGCCCGCCACCTCTCCGGCAACCCAAACCACCGCGCTTGCTCCGCCCCCCCTGCCATGCTGCCGTTCGTGGCGCCCCCAGTGTGTGGCGTGGCAGCAGAGAGAGCACGGTGGTGGGAGCGGCGGTACTGCTGCACGACCCACCCCGCCGCTGCCTCCACGCGGTGGCGCCACCCCCTGGCCAGCCCGCCCCTGTCCGCCAGCCACTCCTGCTCCACCACCACCACCATGCCCCGCGCTGCCCACACCGCCTCCCATGACCCCACACTCCCACCTGCACCACCACCCGCACTCACACCTTCCGTACCAGCACTCGCACTGCCAGGGGCAGTTACAGGCGTGTCCCTTCCATTCTCTGCTGACGCGTCTCCCTGCAGGCCGGCAGCGGTACGCGCACCGCCATGAGACCCCTCTTCCCCTCCGTGCCCTGTTTCCCGCTGCACCGCGTGGCACATGCAGGCATGGCCATGAGCATGAGCATCAGCATGCAGCACGGTGACTCCCAGGCGAGCGAGGTACGTGTGCATGACAGCACGGCGCACGGGCCAGTCGTCCAGCACCACCGCTGCCACTCCTGCATATGGGCCTGACAGCACTGCCGGGCACCAACACACATGCTGCCCTGCCCCCACCCCCGCTGCTGCTGCTGGAGATGCTGGTGCTGCTGCGGCAGTCCGTGTGGAGGGAGGTGCCTCGTGCACTGGCAGTGGGGAGCACACGGAGGGTGGCGTTGGTGGAGGCATGACGTGGAGGGGCGGAGGGCAGAGAGAAGGCGAGGGGGAGCAGCTGATGCCAAGAGAGGCAGCGGCTGCACCCTGGAATAGCGCGTCCTGGTGTTGCAGCGTGGGCGGGGAGAGCGGAGGAGCCGTGAACACACAGTCACTCGAGTTGATACTAGATACCCCTCGCCCTGCCCTGCCACCCACTGTTGCCCCCGCACTCCCACGAGCAGCAGTGGGTTTGGGGGCATGGAAGGGCACGGTGAAGTCGAAGTAGAAGGTGGTGCCGATGCCAGGGCGGCTCACGAAGCTGAGCTTGCCGCCCATGAGGTGCACCAGGTGCCGGGAGATGGTGAGCCCGATGCCCGTGCCGCCATGCGTGCGCGTGCTGCTGGCGTCCGCCTGCACAAAGCGCTTGAAGATGCTCTTCTGCGCACTCAGGGGAATGCCCTCGCCCGTGTCCTGCCATGCCATCCGCACAAGGGGGGGGGGGGGGACGTGGCCAGGGAGGGCACAGGGCGAGACGGCATGGGTGCACACACACATGGGACAACTAGGTCAGGCACACCACATATGCAAAGCAGTGCGGGTAAGAGTATGGGCGGGCATGGGCATGACATGGCATGGCATGGCATGGCATGGGATGGCACGGCAAAAGGAGCATGTGAGTGGGCGCATGTACCTCCACGGACACCACCAGTCGCACCATCCCAGATGATGCTGTCACCCCCTGCCCTCCCGCCCCTGCTCCACCCGCACCCTGCTCCAATGCTCCACCGGACGCCATGGCTTGCTGCTGCATGCGCACATGCGCCCAGCTGTTGCAGCTCTCCACCGCCTCATACCCACTCAACGTCTCATAGCACCTCCTCTCTCTCTCCCTCTCCTTCTCCCTCTCCTTCTCCCTCTCCATGCTACCCCTGCCCTCCTCCCCGCACATGGAAGCACTGTCATCATCCCTACTGCTGGACCACCCACCGCCCTCCACGCCCTCCTCGCCCTCTCCATCCTCGCGCAGCAGCCGATCGCCCCCCAGCGTCCCTGACCCCAAGTAGGCGCGCTGCAGGCGGCCGGGGCCAGCGCCGGGGCGTGAGAGCGCGGGGCGCATGAGGGCGGACGGGGACACAACGCGCCACGCCGACGACCCATGGGGGCCGCCGGTGCGCTGCAGCGGGGCATGGGCGGTGGTGGTGGAGGTGGTGGTGCGCGAGTGCAGCAGCAGCACGCGGCGCAGGTCCTCGTCTGAGCGCACGGCACGCACACAGATGAAGATGTGCCCGCGCGCCGTGTACTTGCAGCTGTTGGACAGCAGGTTCATCAACACCTGCCCGCGCAGCCGTGAGCGGCAGGGGGGAGAGGAGAGAACACACGAGGGATGCATGGGGGAGGGGGAGTGAGGCAGGAGGCAAGGGGTAGGGAAGCAGGTAGATTTTTTGGCAGGTAGGTCTATCGGCTGGTAGGTCTATTGGCTGGTAGGTCTATTGGCTGGTAGGTCTATTGGCAGGTAGGTCTATTGGCTGGTAGGTCTATTGGCTGGTAGGTCTATTGGCAGGTAGGTCTATTGGCTGGTAGGTCTATTGGCAGGTAGGTCTATTGGCTGGTAGGTCTATTGGCAGGTAGGTCTATTGGCTGGTAGGTCTATTGGCTGGTAGGTCTATTGGCTGGTAGGTCTATTGGCTGGTAGGTCTATTGGCTGGTAGGTCTATTGGCAGGTAGGTCTATTGGCAGGTAGGTCTATTGGCTGGTAGGTCTATTGGCTGGTAGGTCTATTGGCAGGTAGGTCTATTGGCTGGTAGGTCTATTGGCTGGTAGGTCTATTGGCTGGTAGGTCTATTGGCTGGTAGGTCTATTGGCTGGTAGGTCTATTGGCAGGTAGGTCTATTGGCAGGTAGGTCTATTGGCTGGTAGGTCTATTGGCTGGTAGGTCTATTGGCAGGTAGGTCTATTGGCTGGTAGGTCTATTGGCTGGTAGGTCTATTGGCAGGTAGGTCTATTGGCTGAGAAGACTGGAAGCTTGTCTGTGCAATGATAGCGCATGGCGCATCCAGCTTCCACTAAATTCCCCCCTGGCACACCATTTCCCACGCGTGCATGCCCCTCATTCTCTCTCCCTGTCCACCCACCTGGCGCAGGCGCAGTGAATCACCGAAGATGAGGGAGGGCACGGCGGGGTCAACGTAGGCAGCGACCTCAACATGGGGGTTGGCGCGGATGCGGTCCACGAACATGCTGAGCACGTCGTCCACCACGTCACTGCGCACGTCCATCGCCGCACTCTCCAACACCATGCGCTTCGCCTGCACGGGCCCCCAACCAGCACGGCACAACACGCGCAGCACAAGGGAGAGAGGCGTGGGCGGAGAGGAGAGGAGAAGTGGAAACAGGTAGTGAGAGGAAAGGAGGGAGCGAGTGGGAGAGGCAGAGCAAGACTGGATGGTGGAGACGACAACGCGTGAATGGCATGGCATGGCATGGCATGGCATGGCATGGCATGGCATGGCATGGCATGGCATGGCATGGCATGGCAATGCATGTTGAGGCGGGTGACCTCGATCTTGGAGAGGTCAAGGATGTCGTTGATGAGGTCCACGAGCGCCCTGCCACTGGTGCGCGCTGTGTCCACGTAGTCCAGCTGCACCGCACTCAATGGCGTCTCCAACAGCAGATTCATCATGCCTGCCACCCACGCATGCATGCCCCATGTGCAGCGCGCGCAAGAGCAGGAGAGGGGGAGAGAGCGATGCAGAGGCATGGGGGTCGAGAAGAAGAAAGGAGAAGAGAGAGATGTTTACGCGTGGACGTGTGTGATGTGTGTGACACGTGCAGTATCAAGCACAGCAGAGCGCACGGGCAAAGCGGTGCAGACAGCAGAGGGGCAGGCGCGGGGGAGAGTGAAACGTGTGGGCTGCATGCAGCGGCACACACCGATGACGCCGTTGAGGGGCGTGCGCAGCTCGTGGCTCATGGTGGCGAGGAAGGTGCCCTTGGCGCGGTTGCCCATCTCCGCCAGCACCTTGGCGCGCTTCATGCGGTCCTTGAGCAGCCCCATGCGCCGCAGGTTGCGCCGCGCCACACTCAGATGCCGCTGTGCCACACACAGCAGGTACGCTGCCCCCGCCACCACCACCAGCACCAGCACCATCCACACCACTGGCAGCACCGGCACCGGCACACTCGCATACCTGATGGTGGAGGTGTGGGGGGAAGGGGAATGGCATGGTGGCACTGGCATGGGCATGGCTGGTCAAGTGGAATGATCCATGAGGGAGACAGACAGAGAGGGAGCGGGTGAGGGAGAAACTAAACCAAGGGAAGAATGTGGGGCGAGGGGTGGTGGGATGAGCGCACCTGCACCGGAGCTCGTACTGCCTGAACTGGTCTCCGAAGTCAATGCTGTTGACGCGTGCGAAGGGCCCCTCCGCCACGTGGTCTTGGGGGTTGTAGGCCTGGCGCGAGGCGTCCAGCACCAGCTGTGGTGCACTGCCGTCCGTGACGTCCACTATCTGCAACACCATGTCCGCCGCTGGTGATGCCGCCTGCTCCCACCCATGCACACCCATACATGCACAGCAATGCACACCCATGCACACTCATGCACACCCATGCACACCCATGCACACCCATGCACACCCATGCACACCCATGCACACCCATGCACACCCATATGCAGAGCACAATGGAGACGGCAGGGAGAGAATGAGCAGGGAGTCCCCTACCAACCTGCCGTCCCCTTGCCCCTTCCCCTTGCCCCTTGCCCCTTCCCCTTCCCCCTTGCCCCTTGCCCCTTGCCCCTTGCCCCTTGCCCCTTGCCCCTTGCCCCTTGCCCCTTGCCCCTTGCCCCTTGCCCCTTGCCCCTTGCCCCTTGCCCCTTGCCCCTTGCCCCTTGCCCTCCCCCCACCTTGATGATGTCCTTCCACAGCCCGTCCACGTCCATCTCCGCCACCATGAAGCCCCCCAGGTCGCCCTCCCCCACGCCCGCGCCCAGCCCCGCACCCGCCCCCGCCGCGCCCTCGTCGCCGTCATGCCCCGCGGGTGCAGCAGGCGGGTACGCGCGGGCGGAGCGGAACACGGGCAGCACCTTGAACACGTGCGCGTCGGAGGAGGCGGCGGGGGAGAAGTGCACGGCGGTGGGTGCGTGCATGGCGGCCAGGATGGGCGACACCACTGCGCGCAGCTGCTGCCGCGCTCGCCACACCGTGGCGTTCAACTGGTCCACTGCGCGTGGGGGGTTGAGGGGCACATGGGGGAGGTGGCCCACGCATGAACGCGGTAGGCAGAGGACAGAGGACTGCGGCAGGAGAGTGCGTGGGTAGCAGAGCAGGGGGTGGAGGGGGGCGGTGCAGGGGGTAGAGGGGGGCGGAGCAGGTGGTGATTCACATTGGTAGAGGTCGAGGCCGCGGTGTGGCGCATGGGCGAGCTCCTCAAACACTATCGGCGCATACTCCTGCCGCTCCTCCTCACACTCCCAGCCCTCGTCCCTGCTCCCACCCCACGCACAGCCACACACGTTGGTGGAGGGGTTGCGGGTGGGGGAGTGAGAGATAGGGCGTGAGTGGAGGATAGGAATGCTGGTGGCATGGCATGGCATGGCATGGCATGGCCGGCGGGTTGTCCATGTGGAGAGTGCGAAAGAGCATGGTGAGAGGGTACCAAGGCTGTGGCAGCGGTGAGAGTAAAGGCAGAGGCAGCCCAAGTAACGAGATGTAGAGCATGCAACAGTACGCATGCATGCGTGCGTGCGTGGATGGGGGCATGGGGGCATGGAGGCGAGCTGACATGATGCAGGGCGCGGTGGCGTTGTTGAGGGTCTCCCAGGCGGGGCGCAGGGCGGGCGAGACACGCAGGGCGAAGGCAACGTTGTGGAAGAGATGCAGCGACAGCTGTGACTCACGCATGATGTCCGCAAACATGCTCTGCCATGTGCACGCATGGCCACGCAGGGGTGGCGAGGGGGGGTTAGAGAACATGAATGAGTGCGCTTGGGGCGACAGGGTGCAGGCAATGGGGAGGAGGGCAGCGCGGCCAAGTGAAGGCAGGGCATCATGAGCGTGTGAGAGGAGAGGGGGAGGGGGCGGTGAGGGGAGGGGCACCTGGTTGAGCACGGGTGGGTTGGAGCGGAAGTAGAGGATGGACAGCAGCGCCGACAGCACACGCGCCTGTAGGGCACGGGGGCACCACGCACGGTTAGTAATGCCCACGTGCAATGCACCACGCACGGTTAGTAATGCCCACGTGCAATGCACCACGCATGGTGTGCGCGCAGGTGCGTGGGCGGCAGGGCTTGCACCTGTTTGGCGGAGTCTTGCAGCCGCTCGTTGAGCAGCGCCGCCCACGTGTCACACAGCGTCGTCAACACGTCCTGCCACGCGCACAGTGCGACGGGGGGAGGGGGGGAGAGAGGACGCGCAGAGGGCGAAGAGGAGACGCAATAGGAGCGGCAAGAGGTCAGCGTTGCAGCATTGGCAAAGCACCACAACCCACCTCATCCTCACTTCCCCTGCATTCTCGCGCACCCCGCGACTAGTGCCTCGTGCCGCGTGCCTAGTGCCTAACGCCTAGTGCGGACGCCAATAGGTGTTGCGATAGCGCGGGGGGGCGGGCGGCGCACCATGCTGCTGCGCTGGTAGCTCCTGAACGTCGCCCAGAACACCACGGCGGCCGCCGCCAGCCCCGCCAGCATGACGGCGGCGAAGATGGACAGCTGGCAGCGCCGCGACCCCCAGTCCACGCTGCGCGCCCACGCCACCGCTCCGCGCCCCGCCTTTCCCTTCCCCGCCTCGCCCGCCCCCGTGCCCGCTCCACGCGTGCTCCGCTTCGCGTCCTCGGCCTCCGCGTTCCCTGCGGATGAGTCAGAGGCGCGCGAGTCGGCGGGGGGAAGGGGAGCGGGGCGAGCGGGGGAGGGTGGGAGGAGGGGCCAGCAGCAGCAGAGTTGGTCGTGGCAGTCGGTGGTAGCGTCGAGCCCGTCGTCCGTGCACCCCGCGTCGCTCATGCGCTCCTCCTGCTCCTCTTCCTCCTCCATATCATCCGCCACTACCTCATACGGTGCTGATGTAATCATCTCGTCCGGCTGCTGGCACGGCGGCGACGCGGGGAGCGCGGACGGGCGGGCGGAGGGCCAGGCGGGGGAACTGGCGGACGCGGACGACGCGGAGGACGCAGGCGTGGCGGGGCGCGCATTGATCCCCTGCCAGGTTCGCTCGTCGGGCTGCAGCGGCTCGCGGTTTTGGGGCCGCTTTGCAACGAACCAGTCGTAAGGAAAGGCGCTGCGTCGCGGCTGTGCCTCGGCACTCGCTCCCTCACCGCTGTCCGCGCGCCGGCCTGCCTCCACATCATCCCACGACCCCTCCTCCGGCCCCCACGTGCGTTTGTCGTCACCCGCGCTTGCTGGCGTGCCACCCTTACAATCCGCTGCGACACCGTTCTGCTCACTGGTTCCGTGCACCATGCGCGCAATGCGCTTCCGCCACGACCCGTTCCGCGGGTCGTTAACTTCCGACCCTGTCTGGCGCGCGCTGCTTGTCCCGTTACAGGACGCGCTGCGCTCGCCATCCCCCAGCCCCGCGTCGCACTGATGCAGCCCGCTGTCCACGCGGCTGGCGTGCTGCGCTGCGCCAACACAGGGCAAATGGGCTCCATTGGGCGACGCGAGGCTCCGCGCGTCCATGCGCGCATACCCGGCGCCGCGGTCAGCTCCCCTGGGCAGGCAGCCGCAGGCAGCTTCGGGGAGTTGCCCGCCACTGCTGTCGCCCGCTTGCTCTTGGTACAAGCCATTCGACGCTGCCATGCACGCCGTCGCACTCACCCAACTACGGTGCAAGCGTGTTATCTACCTAACGAACTGCTAGACGGTTGCCATCATACTCCTAAGTTGTCACTCATGCCATTATCCAGAAGAGGAAGTCAAGAGAACCGTCTGGACATGGGTTTTCCTGGACTGAATGTGCAACAGTACCGTAGCGCATAACGACCAGACTGAACATGTTCTGTGCAAGGACCAGTGTGATAAGTTCCATTCGGCTGCTGTTGCGTTTTTTTGTTCCTCTATATACACAGAATGCCCTTTCTCAGTCGTTATTTTCACATACATGCTCTTTCATTTCTCTATAGATTTTCCCAACGGCAAAAAGGGTATCTACATTAGATAGGTGCAATTGCCCACCCAACTTCGCATTATTTCGGTTGGTTTATGTGCATTTCTACGCGAAACTCTGCTTACTTTTCTCGTTTATATTGGGCTGTGATATTATGTGCCGGGCGCAGGGACGTGACCCTAATGGCATTTCAGTGTTCTCTTGGCGTACACTGCAGCTGTTGCTCTCCTCGTGGCACACTCCAGACAGCTCAGTTCAGTTCAGTACGTCTCCGTCCCCTCCGCACGTAGTGGGCGTGTACCAGAACCGCACAAGCAAGGCAGCCCCAAACCAAGCCCCCTCACCACTGATTATGGAAACCGACTGACCGAATGACGTGGCCCCCTACCCACCCCATCCAATTCCCAGTCGAGCGAGTGGGTGATTCGGCGGGGTCTGGCTGTGTGTGCATCCAGTACTTCATCCCCGTAGCATAGTGTACGCCATATGGAGTATCCTCTCACATGCGATGCAAATGACAAGAAGCACTATTCCCCCCTCCCATATAAGACCCTCTACCTAAAAAATTCCCATGGGGCATATAATTGGGTATGGGTCTTTAAATTTGGCAGGCTGTGCTGTTTATTACACTTATTCCGAAATATAAAAATGAACTCGATCATATATTTGTGTACTTGTCTTTAGCAAATTTGGTTGTTCATAACCTTGATTGTTTGTTTATATCGTTCATGCTTTGTACCTACAGTATTATGAAGAATCAATTGTCCCAGCTATCCATGCTTCAAGTAAAGCGAACGGGATGAACTAGGCAGAGAAGAGATGGTACCGTATACTGACACACAGAACAATACAAGGTACTCAATTAGAGTATTTAAGCATAGCACACTTGGCTTGCCCCGTGTTTTCACTGTTCGTAACACCTTCCACTGTACAGCGAAACCGTTAGGGATCTGCTGCCAGCATTCGCCCGTCGGTGGGCCTGGAGGGGGGCCATCTCGCCAGCAGCAACTGTCGGTGGCGGGCAGGTGGGGTAGCCATCAAGTCGGCCGTGCTCCTGTAACGGCGCGTTGCGCAGCTCGGCAGAAGATTCGTCAAATGGGTTGTGCGACGGGGATGACCAGTGCTGCGAGTCGGTCACCGGCAGCAGGAGCCCGTCGTCTTTTGCTTGACCCGTGCCCCACAGCAGCCCCACATTGACCCGCAGCGCATCTTCGCAGCAGCAGTCGCATGGTGGACGGACCAGGCATCAGGGCAGGGTGAAGGAGACAGCAGCGGCGGGGACGCAGGACGCGAATCGGATGCAAGAATTTGCAATGGAGGAGCGATGCTGCTGTGGACTCCAGTCGCATCAGTCCCACAGCGTCCTTGCAAGAAGGGCGAGGGGCGACGAGAGGGCAGCGAGCAGCGGCCAAAGCTGCCGCGCCATTCCAAGATCCACTGTAACGCCATCGCCACCACCACGCCCACCGATTGGCCCATTCTTTTCAAAGCACTTGTCCCGCCGCCTCGAGGTTCTAGCGGACACGATCTCAAGCTTGTGCCACACGACGCCCGTTACTAGCGACCTGCCTTGCCCGCGTATGGTGTTGCTGCCTAGCGAGCCCTTGTCGCTCGCTCTGCGTTCTTCCAAGAGCCGTACTAGTACGTTATTTCCGCCCTGAGCTGTGTCTCCTCACCTCCTCATGCTCTCGTCTCCTAGTCGCCACGTACCGCGCGCCTTCTCGGCGCGGCTCGCTTCCTCTCCACGTGCCATGCGTCGCGACCACGGCGCGGTTTCCCCGCCTTGCCCCTCGCCGTACGTCTCCCGCGCGCCTGCTATCCCCCGTGTGCATCCGCCTGCTGCGCCCTCGGTCGACCGGTCAGGCTCGCTGAGCGCGCAGGGTGCGCCCGCGCCGGCTGCACCCGGCGCACCTTCTCTCATGGCAGGGTCGGCCGATGCGCCGTGCGGCGGCAGCGCGGGCCATCGGCGCGCGCCGTCGTGGCCGCTGCCGAGTCTGGTGCCGCTGGACCGCCTGCAGTCGCTGTCGCTGGCGGACGTGCTGGCGGAGATGGCGCAGTGCGCCACGCCCGCGGGGGAAGTCGCCGGGGATGGCGGCGGGTTCAACGCTGCGAGGGAGAGGAGTCGCGTCGGCAGTGGAAGTGAGCGTGCAGCGGGGGGAGGGCACGTGAGAGCGGGGAGTGGAAAAGAGGGGACGGGCGGAGATGGAGGAGAACGAATAGCAACGGCGGAACGAGGAGCAGTGGCAGGGGACAGGTTCGAGAATGCAACGGACGAGGAGAACGGGGGGCTGAGAGTCACTGGCAGCAGCAGCGGCGAGGGGGCCGCGGGTGATGCTTCCATGGCAGCAGCGGACGCAGAGGCGCAGCGCGCAGCGGGTGATGACATGGAGCAGCGCGACGCGATGATGGGGCTGATGCCACTGTCGCCGGGCGACATGCTGTCGCCGCCATCCGTGCTGCCGTCGCCGCGCGACTGCGGCTTACCGTCGCCCTCGCATCTGCTCGCCCTGCCCTTGCTCGACCTGCCCTCTGCCTCCGATCCCCCCTCGTGCCCCTCCGACCCCCCCTCGTGCCCCTCCGACCCTCACCTGCCCCTTGCCGATGCGCCCTCACCATGCTCGCGCCCGCACCAACCCATGCCCCCCGTTCCTCCACTCGCCGCCCCGCACCCGCTGCCCCTTCCATCTGCGCGCCCTCCGCTTTCCCCTTCCCACGCGCCACCCGCCGATCCGGCGCAGCGTGGTCATGCGGGGGCGGGCACGGGGGGCAGGGTGGAGGCAGCAGTGGCGAGCGACAGGGGGGTGGGCGGTGGGTGCGGTGGGAGGAAGCGAGGCAATGCGGAAGCAGGCGTGGGGAGCGCTCGCACGCTCCCTGCTGCCCTCTGTGCTCCGCTCCCACCCGCCAGTTCGCACCCCACCGCCAGCCACACCGCGCATACCTTTGCCAGCGCCGGGCCCCACGCGGCGTTGAGTGTGGCGAACAGCGGCGCCCCCTGCGCCACCCCTCCTTGCGCCAAGCGCGCGCGGCCGTCCCCCCCCAGCTGGTGCCTGGACGGCAGCCCAGGGCTGCGGCTGGGCGTGCCTGGCAGTGCGTGGTGCAGCGCCCGCTCCGCCCAGGGGGGTGCTGCGCCTGGCGCAGAGGGGCAGGCACGGGATGCACGTGGACTGGCTGTGGTGGCTCGTGGGAAAGCGGACGCACTTGGAAAAACGGCAGGCGCAGGTGAGACAGCAGCAGCAGGAGGAGCAGCAGGAGGAGGCGGAGGAGGAGGAGCAGGAGAAGGAGGTGCAGGAGGAGGAGGCGGAGGGGGAGGAGGAGTAGCAGGAGGAGGAGGAGGAGGAGGAGGCGGAGGAGGTTGGCAAGGGGCAGCACCGGATGCATTGATGCAGCTGGCAGCATTGCTGCGCGGTGCCGGAGTGAGGCTGGAGGGCGATGTCAACGCCAAGGCAGCGGCTGCACGGCCGTGTCACAGTGGCAGTGAGGTGCATGAGGGTGTAGGCGCACGCAGCAGCGTGGCCACTGGCGCAGGCATGGCGCCGCGCGGGGAAGGCGCCCCGTGTGGGGCTGCTGGTGGGCGCAGCAGTGCGGGCGAGCGCAGTGCGTGGGAGGTGCAGCAGCTGGGGCTGGCTCTGAGGGCGCTGGCCGGGGCTCTGGGGTGCGACAGCCCGAGACAAGGCGACGTGCGGCAGGGCTGGGCAGCAGAAGGGGTCAACGGTGCAGGCTTGGAGGCAGCAACCCGCGTGGAGGGCCAGGAGGGGCGAGGGATGGCATCGGAAGGGGTGGCATCAGGGCATGCAGAGGCAAGTAAGGCAGGAGGGCGAGCAGCGGGCGCAGAGATGGGCAGAGGATGCAGCAGAGGGAGCAGCAGCGGTGCTGGAAGTGGCAGCTGGGGTGAGGGAGAGTGCGGCAGACGAGAGGGAGGAGCGAGGGTGCGAAGTGGAAAGGGTGCAGGGAGCACTGCAACGTGGCGCATGGGGGGGACGGATGGAAGGCGGGCAACAGCAGCAGGCACGGAGGGGCAAGCTGTGCAGGCCAGAGTAAGTCGCGACACGTGCGCCTGTGCCTCAATCAACATGCACAGCATGCTACGGCAGGGTGCATACACGTGCTAGCTGTGCTGGCAGCGATGCAATGTGGGCTGACAGTGTGTGGTTGGCGTGGTGCAGGCGCGGCGGGAGCGCATGAACGTGCGCATGAGGCAGCTGCAGGCGCTGGTGCCGGGGGCGAGCTGCATGACCACGGAGAGCTTCCTGGAGGAGGCCGTGCAGTACGTGCACTTCCTGCAGCGCCAGGTCCTGGTGAGCCATGCCCCCACCACGCCTCGCCCTGCCCTGCCACTCCTCGCCATGCTTTGATGTGTCATGTTGTGCTGTGCCATGGCATCCCCTTTGTTGCTGTACCATGCAATTCATCTCCACACGGTACATGGTGCTGCATTGTCACATGTGCACCCCCTGGCGCCATGCAGGACCTCACAGAATCCCTGCAACTCCATCAACACCCCTGCTCGCCTGCTGCCGCCACACGCGTGCCCTTTCCCCGCACCTCCACTCTTCCCACGCACGTGCCTCGCCTACACACTCTTGCCCCCACCGCACCACGACCGCTTGCTTCCACCTCCTCTGCTGGGTTGAGGGGCAAGGCACCGTGCGGACAGGGAAGGGAATCGCTGAAAGAATGTGGAGCAGATTCGGTGGGGGGAGGTGGTAGGGAGAATGGCAGGTTTGCGGGAGGTAGGGTGTTGGGGTGGCAGGGGGTGGGAGGGGAGATGCAGCGTAGGCAGCTGTGCTTGGTTCCAGTGGGCGCGCTGACCGCTCTGCTGGAGCCAGGGGGCATGGTGGACAGGGCTCTCATGCACGTGCAGCAACAAGAGGAGCAGGGTGGCGCTGAGTGTCATGGATGAAGGGAGCGAGCAATGGCCAGACGCGTGCAATGTGATGCAATGCTCTGTGTGGAGATCAGAGCTGTAAATATTATGGGGGACGAGTTGCCAACAGTACTTAGAAGCCAGCTGGTTAGTCTAGATGTTTGAAGAAAGCTTTCAGATGTATGATAATACCTGCTGTTTTTAAAGTAGACTAGAAGTTATAGTATCAAGTGCCTTTCCACGTGAGAACTAGGAGTGGTTAAAGTGAGCAGGCAAATTAGTCACCCTTGGCCCAGTTTGAAACTCTGGCACTGTTTAGAGAGGGTGCTCTGGGCTCGACAAGAAGAAGCTCACTATTTTGCCCTGCTCGCTTTAACAGGATGGGGTCCTGTTGTGATGCTAATGAAAGGCATTTAACATGCATTGAGTTATAGAGGTAATTTTCTACATCACTGTGGTCGTGTAACATCGCAGCATCGGTCTGACGTTGCAGCAGCGAACGTTGGGCTCGTCCGCCCTTTTTCCAGCATCTACGGAGAGCGTGGCAGCGCTGCAAACCAAGCAGGTGCGCCGCATCACCCCGCCTCTGTCTGCTCTGCACCCCTCCCTCGGGCCTTTTCCGCCTCGCCTGCCGCCTCCTCCCCATTCCCTCATCACTCTCTCACCTCTCCTTTCCCATCCTGCGTTACACTTTTAGAGCAGCTACATTCCCCCCACAGCAAGCACCTCGTCGGGCTATCACCATGGATAGACTAACGTGCAAGATGTCCTATCGTATATTCCGCGTTACTTCGTTACCCGCGTTTTCCTCAACTCATATTTGCTGATCGTCTTTCGACGCTCACCGCATCCGTCGCGAGGCTTCGGCGTTTTTTGTTAGTGGGCAAAGGCCTTCCGCGGTGCGCGTCCATTCTGCGGCTTGCGCGGGTGCGCTTATGGCAGATGGACAGAGCGCGTCGCAGCCGCCCCATTCGGATAGCGATAGTCCGTCCCGACCGCCGCTGAAGCCACAGACGGGCGGTGCAAAGCACGCGGAGGAGGCTTCATGCAACGGCGTGGTGATCGGCGAGGGCACGCGGCAGTCGGAGAACAAAGGCCACGATGGCGATGGAGCGATGGCGCAAGATAGGGATACGGATGGCGTGCGCGAGGCGGTGGAGGCGGAGAGCGTGAAGACGCGCGCGCGGCCGAGCGGCAAGGTGGTGCACATGGCGCGCGCGGACCTCGTCGACCTCGCGGATCTCGACCGCGCTCTCGATCGCGCGCTGTCCCGCCGAGAAAAGCCCGCCGCTGCCGTTCAAGCCGCAGGCGCGGCGGGGAAGGGTGGCGGCAGCGACGCGGATAAGCTGGGGCACGGACCGCAAGCCGAGGGAGCGGAGCGACCGAAATGGGAGATCGACGTGAAGAAAGTAGTGCTGAGAAAGCTAATCGCTAACGGAACGTTCGGCACCGTGTATCGAGGCACTTACCAAGGAAAGGACGTTGCAGGTGCGCCCTCCTTCCCTCCCTCACTCCTTCCCTCCCTCACTCCTTCCCACCCTTGCCACTTCCCTCCCGTGTCCCATCCGTACGGTGTCCCGTCCATCCCTTGTCCCTTCCTTACCGCACCCCGTCCCTGCGTGCCCCGTGGCGCCATTACTGCGACTCGCTTCTCGCGTCGCTGCTCGTGAAGCAGCGTCGTGCGTGGCGGTTCGAGGGGGCTCATGAGAGCGCGATCGGTGCGCGTGAAGCTGGAGGCTGCCAGCGGGGCACCTTATTGCGGATCTTGCTGTCGCGATATGCGTCCCAGTTCTCGCGCAAAGACTACCCATGCCTTGCCATGCCTCCATGCCATGCAGCGCCATGCCATGCCACGCCATGCCATGCCACGCCATGTCTTGTGTATCTAACCTGTGCTGGTTGCGGTGTGCGGTGGTGGTGCGTGCGGGCGAGCAGTGAAGGTGTTGGACTGGGGCGAGGAGGACACCATGTCGCGCATGCAGCTCGACAAGCTAAGGCGCGCCTTCAAGCAGGAGGTCACCGTGTGGAGCGACCTCTCTCACCCCAACGTCGCGCAGGTCAGCGCCGCCGCCGCCGCCGCTGCTGCTGCCCCTCGCTGCCCGCCGCTCATGCCGCCCGCTGCTCTTGCCCGCTGCGCCCTGAGCTGACCGTGCGTGCGCGCGCTGCGTGGTGCGTGCAGTTCGTGGGCGCGTCCGTGGCGGACCAGGGCGGGTTCATGATCCCGTCGTTTGACCGGTCGCGCGGGGGCGGCGGGCGCAAGGGCGACATCCGCGTGGAGGGCAGCCTGTGCTGCCTGGTGGTGGAGTACGTGGCGGGCGGCACGCTCAAGGACTACCTCATCGCCAACCGCCGCCGCAAGCTGCCCCTGCGCACCGTCGTGCAGCTCGCCTCCGACATGGCCAAGGGGTAAGCGCAAGGGGGGGAAGAGGGGGGGGGAGGAGGGGGAGGGGCGGAGGTGGGGGGATGCATGAAGGTGGGGGATGCATGGGGGTGGGGGATGCATGGGGTTGACACATGGGGGTGGGGGATGCATGGGGGTTGACACATGGGGGTGGGGGATGCATGACATGGCTGAGGGAGAGTGGCGTGTCATAGCAGGTCGCATGTGGGGCCGACGGGAGGACCAAAGAATGGGGTTCGTGCAGAAAGTGGGTCTGTCATGTGGTCCGAAGAGGCTAGCAGCTCGATTTACACGCAACAAGTCGTCAACCACTGTGCAACTGCTGCTCCACCCCTCCACCATCCCCACGCCATGTGTCTGACCCTCTTGTCAAGACAGAGGGTCTACTGTTGTCATGATGTGTAGCCTCAAATCTTGTGTGGTGCCTGGGGGGTGTGCGTGTGGCAGGCTGGAGTACCTGCATGCGCACGGGGTGGTGCACCGGGACATCAAGTCGGAGAACATGCTGCTCACTGCCAGTCGCCGCGTCAAGGTGGCGGACTTTGGGGTGGCGCGCATAGAGGCGGAGAACCCCAAGGACATGACGGGCGCCACCGGCACACTCGGCTACATGGCCCCCGAGGTCAGTCGCCCAACCACCGCCCGCTGTATGTGGCGCCGCCAGCTCTTGCTCTTGCTCATCCGCTTCACTGCTTGCTGTGCTGTGCCCCGGAGGCAAAGGAACTGATTGGTGTGTGCCCCTGTGCAGGTGCTGGACTGCCGGCCGTACAACCACCGTGCTGATGTGTACAGCTTTGGCATCTGCCTGTGGGAGATCTATTGCTGTGACATGCCCTTCCCCGACCTCGACTTCAAGGAAATGGCCGCGGTAGTCAATAAGGTGCCTGCACTCTCGCACGCACATCTGCTTCTTTTCTTTTTTACTATGAAGCACTTGTATGCAGGCACTAGCACATGCGCATGTGCACACACAGTGGCCACACTCCCAGATATTTATGTGCGTGTAGTTGGCAGTATGTAATAGCTGCCGCTCCTCTCTCTCGTCTCATGCTCATCTCCCTCCCCGCCCCCACCCAGGGTCTGCGCCCCACCATCCCTGGCATCTGCCCGCGGGACTTGGCCAGAATCATGCAGCGCTGCTGGGATGCTGACCCCAGCAAGCGGCCCGACATGGGGGAGGTTGTGACACTGCTGGGGAAGGTGGACCTGAAGCGCGGCAAAGGCATGACTCCCATTTATGACATGCCCAATGATTCCATCTCCTGCTGCTGGGTCACATGAAGGCCTCGACTTGGCTGCACACAGCGCTCCCCTGCAGCTTGAAGGACTGATGGCAGGTAGTGGGTGTGAGATGACAACACAATGGGTCAGCGTTGCACCACCTCACTACCACAACCATTCTTTGAAATTAGAATATATTAAGGGTCTTGCGGATATGATCAGATTAGTATGTAAGATAATAGTAAGATGTCAATGAGCCTTTGATCACTTTTAACACAATGAATCTTCAGCCAGATAGTGTAATACTCCCTGCCAATTGAAACATTTGCTGTAAGCGCAAAATGTATATTGTTCAATGCGCATATACTTGAACTGTTCTCATGGTGGGCCGTGGCGGCGTCGTCCTGTCAGAAGCATTCTTCTGACGGACGATTCCCGCGCGAACAGAGAAATGGTGGAACCGCCGTGCTCCAGAAGATTTTTATCGCAAAACTCAATCTGATGTTTCGCCAGTCGTAGCTTTAGCTAACGAAATGGGTATCCCCGTCGTCAACGCACTCACGAATTTGCCTCCCCCTGCCGACAGTGCGGCGCCCTCCACCCAAACAGGCGAAATGGAATGTCGCATTTGAGAATCGTTCTTCACCACTTTGAATCCGTCTAGATTCCCTGGATTTTACGTCGGAACCTGGCTTCTTCCAGTGATGGTCACTTTCCGTTCTGCAATCCAATCTCCAGCTTCCTTGAATGCCCTTCTAACCATTGTAGCAGCAGTTCTCGAGGATAAGCTTGCTAAGCCGAAATCCATGGCGGTCGCCATATTGTTACGAACCGGTAACCTTTTAACCTTATTCTTAGTCATCGTTAAGAAGTGAAACGAGCTTTACGTCTGATTGTCGGACAGAGTCATTTGACGCTTAGAATTTGTAGTCATTTGGAGCAGTTTCGTTTCCGCCATCCAGCAATTACCTCCTTGACTGCAGTTCTGGTTTATAGTTCAGGTATTTTAGACATCTGACGAGCGCGGAACAGAGGGGTTTTGCCGAAAAGCCTCATTAATCATTTTCTGATTTCCATACGCTCCATTAAATACCGAGGCGACGCCGCTCTCCAGCAGCGAGAACGTTTCGATTTGGTGATGACCGAGGCCGATATCCTGCCGGCGACAGCTGTTTTACACGGCGAATGATTCTACGAGGTCAACAATAGGTACTTCGGACTTCGAAAAGCAACAGTCGCCAACGGTGATTGAGTGGGTGTCTCCTGACGGTGACGAACGACACAGCCACTTCCAATAACGGTTAGCGACTGTCGCTTATGATGGTGACGATCAAAAGTACGATCACTGACGCTGACCACCGCCGGCGATTTCTGACGGTGACGATCGAGATGGTGACTTCTAACGGTGACACTTGAAGTGACGCTTTTCAACCATAGCGAGCAGGACGGCGATTATCAACAGTGACGATTACAGCGACTCTTACGGAAGATGACGACTAGGATTGCGGTACCTTGAAGTGACTATCATTACGGCGATTCCCGATGCTGACGATTGAAGTGACGTTTTCCGTCGGTGAAGATGAGGATTGATCAGGATTGCGAATTTCACTGTTACGATCGTCGCGACGCTTTCTAACGGTGACGATCAAGATGGACACTCCTAACGGTGACGACTGAGGCGACTACAGACGCTGACTATTGAGATGGAATTTTCTCACGGTGACGATTTAAACGCTGCCGAACAGAGGCGAAGGTGAAACTAGTCGAAATGACACCAACAGCAACGAGTGACTCTCACTCAGAGATGCAATACTCTCACCAACAGCAGCAGAACGGATACTGCTGCTGACTGGAACGATGACTGCCTCGCTGCTTCAAGTCTCCAATACAGCTAAGTCCCCTCTTACTTTGCCCTTGTCATCATTACCGCTTCTGGTTCGCCCTTGTCCACTTTGTACTGCGCTTATTCCTTGCAGCATTTTTGAAAAAACAAAAGTTGAGTGAGAGATGAGAGGCGTTTGGCGATGGTAGCGCATGGCACTGGGGCGGCTTGAGCTCATACTAGAGTCGTAGGGGGTTAGAGTAGAATGCATTCATAATCATGCTGCGTCCCTTCCTAATTTGCCTGCTAGCTCGGCGCCCTAGTGCTGTGTGCTACCATCGCCTCCCCTTTCACAGCGTCACAGTGCCACGTGCTTTTTATCTTCAACTTTCGTTTCTTCTACTCATCCTTCTTGTATCTCTGCCTCCTTGCATGCTTCTACTGACCACATGGGTTCCTTTCCCCTGCTATGTTTTCTTGCTCTCCTTTCCTTCTCGTCCGGTGCTATGGCAGCGTGGTGCAGGGACGGAGGGCGGTGGGATGACACACGGCAGGCAGTCACAGCGGTGTGCGAGCCTCCTGGAAGCCTCACGCCACTGTCCTGCAAGCACCCCCATACGGCTAAGTTCCCTCTCCCTTCGCCCTTGCCATCCTTACCGCTTCTGCTTCGTGTTTATCATTGCCCACTTTTGTACCGCATTCTTCCGTCACCGCGTGCTCGAAACAAAAGAGCTCATTTTCAAATGGGAGCGATCAAAAGTTGAGTGAGAGATGAGCAACGTTGGCGATGGTAGCGCATGGCACTGGGGCGGCTTGAGCTCATACTAGAGTCGTAGGGGGTTAGAGTAGAATGCATTCATAATCATGCTGCGTCCCTTCCTAATTTGCCTGCTAGCTCGGCGCCCTAGTGCTGTGTGCTACCATCGCCTCCCCTTTCACAGCGTCACAGTGCCACATGCTTTATATCTTCAACCTTTGCTTTCTATACTCATCCTTCTTGTATCTCTGCCTCCTTGCATGCTTCTACTGACTACAAGGGTTCCTTTCCCCTGCTATGTTTTCTTGCTCTCCTTTCCTTCTTGTCCGATGCTATGGCAGCGTGGTGCGCAGAGGGAGGGCGGTGGGATGACGCACGGCAGGCAGTCACAGCGGTGTGCGAGCCTCCTGGAAGCCTCACGCCACTGTCCTGCAAGCACCCCCATACGGCTAAGTTCCCTCTCCCTTCGCCCTTGCCATCCTTACCGCTTCTGCTTCGTGTTTATCATTGCCCACTTTTGTACCGCATTCTTCCGTCACCGCGTGCTCGAAACAAATGAGCCCATTTTCGAATGGGAGCGATCAAAAGTTGAGTGAGAGATGAGCGGCGTTTGGCGATGGTAGCGCATGGCACTGGGGGGGCTTGGGCTCATACTAGAGTCATAGGGGGTTAGAGTAGAATGCATTCATAATCATGCTGCGTCCCTTCCTAATTTGCCTGCTAGCTCGGCGCCCTAGTGCTGTGTGCTACCATCACCTCCCCTTTCACACCTTCATAGTGCCACGTGCTTTTTATCTTCAACTTTCGTTTCTTCTACTCATCGTTCTTGTTATCTCTGCCTCGTTTCATGCATTTCATTACTTGCGATTCCTGTTCCACTGCTGCCTTCCGTTCGTGAACTTAATTCCTGCATCCCGTGTCCTTATACCTATCTTCAACTCTATCGCTTGTTCCAGGCCAAGGGAGTGCGAGCAGCAAGGGGCGGCAGAGGCAGCCACTGGAAAGGGTACTGCTGAGATGGGTGTCGCTGCAAGGGGTTCTGCTGCAAGTGCTACCACTGGGGGCAACATGGGAGGTGCAGCGCCTTGCACCCATCTTCTCCACCCGCTTGCTGCCCTCCTCCCGCCGCCCCCGGTTCCTCCTCCACCTGCTCCTGCGTTCTCACCGAGGGACCCTCCCCAGGTGATAGCTCCCCGAGCTGACACTTCAAAGCGAATCTCCACTCGACAGTTTGCTCTCTCGTTTCCCCTCTGTTGTCCCCCTTCCGTCAGCTTGTTCTCGGTTTCCCTAGTCTCCTGTCGTACCGCTCCTCTTCTCCTACCGTAGCGTGAACTTCACTTTTATCCAATCGCCCGCCTTCCTTGTTGCTTTCTTTGTTCATCTCCTGTGTTCGGAAGCAGAGGAGGACGCAGAGGAAGCGAACAAATGGGAGCAGAGATATAGGAGCACGTATGTGAGAGAGAAGATGTGTGATGTGGTGAGTCTCCTCTGACAGATCCTTCTCCTTTGCATTCGCTGTGGCCTGCTCCTTTGATCCTCTACGCATCGCTACGTGTCACTGCTCTGCCTCACTCTCATCTTTCTGTCGATTTAATCCTTTGCAAGTGCCTCATTTCCGCCCACTCACTCTCAGTTGCCTCCTTGCCTCCTAATCTCTTTTTCCGCCCTCCTCTCCTCCCCCCTCCTCCCCCCATTCCGTTCTGTATGACTGCACTTCGCCCTTCTCTCCTTATTTTCTTCCCTGTCACCGCTCTTCCTTCCTTGTCTCTCTTCCAGCAGGCGAGGATAGCAAGGTGAGCCAGCAAATGGGGAGCTGAAGGGAAAACAATGGGTAGACATGATGTGGTAAGCTCGTTGTTCTGCCCGCCAGTTTAGTCTCGCTTGCCACTCCTTTTCTGTCTTCTCGGTCAATCGGGCATTCGCATGTTGCATGCTAAGATCCACTCTTTCTACTCTGATTTGAACGTCGTTGCTGCTCCTCCCATACCTTCCTTGTCTCCCCCTCTCCTGCCTTTCATCCTGCACTCGATCACAGCACGACTAGGGAGAGGCTGCAGCAACATTGATCATCAAGGGGCAACAAGCAAGGGCGAAATAGCTGCTGTACATTCCTTGTCCCCTCCTGTCAATCATCTCCTCAAAGATTTTCCCGCCACCCACTTTCGCTTCCTTCCCCTCTGCTTCTTCACGGCGCCTTTGCTCCTCCCATAGCCTCCTGTGCGCTAACTGAGAAACAGGCACGGCAACACGCGAGGGACTACAGGCGAGGTCAAGTCAATCGGGTCGTCTTCTTATGGTAATGCTGCTCGCTCAGCACCCTTGTTCTCTGCCCACAATAGCCCTTTGCCGGCCTCTCGGTTGCATTTCCTCTCGGTTTCTCATTTCTGTTACCTTTGCACCTCTAGCTTCAGATGCCTTATTGCTCGGCTCTTCCGCTCCTCTTTTTATCACATTCTTTATTTCTCGGCTCCTCCTCTCCTC